ATCAGTCAGTTTTGTGCTTGGGAGTGCCCTGGAGAAGCGGGTTAGAAGTAGGGTGACCAGACAGCAAGTGTGAAAAATCGGGACAGGGTGTAGGGGGTAATAGGAGCCTATATAAGAAAAAGACCCAAAAATCGGTACTGTCCCTATAAAATCGGGACATCTGGTCACCCTAGTTAGAAGGAGGGGTTTTGGCTATTTCTTCTCCCCTAGATTAACTTTGGGATGTTTTCTCTTCCACCACAATCCTCTCCCTTTCTCACAAAATGATCTTTTGTCCTCCCCAGCACCATTTCTCTTAAAAGCATATAGGATAGAACTGATAGATTGGTGTCACACTGTGCAGATACGTAGGGCCTAGGATCTGCTTCTGATGTTACACGGATTCATAACTGTACAGTAGAACCCCGTTTATCTGACTCTCCATAGTAACCGAACAACCAGCGCACAGGTCCAGAAGCTGGTGATCTCTCCTGAGGCTGATAGGTGGCGCTGCAGCTTCGCACTTTTCCATTCTCCGGATTATTCGAATTTTTTATTACCTGATCTGGCCTCGGTCCCAATTAGATCGGCTAAACGGGGTTCTGCTGTGTGTGTGTATTATATATATATATTCTGCTGTGTGTTTGTGTATATATACACATATATATATATATACATATATATACATATACATATATATACACACACACACACACACACACAGCATATATATATATATATATATATTTTCTGCTCCCATTCATGTCAATGGGAAAAATTCCCAGTAACTTTAAAAGCACAGGCTCAAACCCTTATTGAGTACGTGTGCGCACACATATTCAATGCACACGCACACATATTCAATAAGGGTTTGAGCCTGTGCTTTTTAAGTTACTGGTAATTTTTCCCATTGACATGAATGGGAGCAGAATTAAGCCCTATGATTTTTTCTGGTTTTAAGAGAAAATTGGAAGCCGAGATGAACCCCCGACATGATGCTGTCTTTATGAAACCTGACACATGAAACAGTCAAAGATACTGACTTACACCTTTTATGTATGTAAGTAACTCTTAAATGCTAAACATTGCTGGATGGTAATCCACTTCCTGTTTTCATGGTGTGTTGCTTAATTAATGATGACTAAGGCTACGATTTAGTCATGGGTATTTTGTTACACTATTTTGAACCAGAATTTCTATACACTGACTGTGTCCCTCCAGGTTTCTGTTCTCCTCCCCCCCATCTTATGTCACAGGCAGTAAACAAAAATTCATGGCAAATGGCCCTTTCATGACTTGTACTATATACCCCTGACTAAATCTTGGGGACAGGGGAAGGGGACACCTTCATTCCTATATATTAATCATTTGGACTTGTCCAGAATGAAGAATCTGTATTGATGTCACATCAGCAAATAAAAAGAGGGATTTTGAACCAGAATTTCTATACACTGACTGTGTCCCTCCAGGTTTCTGTTCTTTTCCCCTTATTCACCCTATTTTGTTTCCTTTTCCTGTCTTCTTCCCTTAGTTTTTCAGCTTTCCCCTTAACATTAACTCCTTTCTGTTCTCCTCCACTCTCTTCATTTCCCCCTCCATTTGCCACTTTCCATCCTTCCCTACACATTCCCATCTGGGCTCACATTCTCCCAAGTCACTCCTTCCAACCCCACTATGGAGTGCCAGGAGGGGAGTGGGAACTGAAGGTCGATTTGTTGCCCCTGGGGCGGCGGGGAAGCAGCATCTCCTCTTCTATTTCTCCCCTCCTTAGTCATCAACAAGGAAGCTCTTTCTTCCCCTCTTCCCTAGAGGGAAGACATAACTGATGAGGGAACAGGATCTTTAAGCAAGGAGACTTTCCGCCCCTCCCTCCCATCAGGTGGTATTACTGTTACTGCTCTACCTACAGGATGGGCTGGGAACCACAGAAATTTCCCAGACGCACCAGCTCCTTCCACTTCAATTCTTACCTGGTGTGTCCTCATTCCTAGCCAGAGAAAGCTACTACTGCCTATCTACATGCTGGTCCCAATTTGTTATAGATTATGTTTGGAACTGGTTTAGCAGAATGGAGATGAACATGTTCAGGTTAGGCCTGAATAAAGACTGGGAGTGGTTGGGTCATTACAAAACCTAAACCTAATTTCCCCAATACTAATTTTCCCCTACTGTTACTCACACCTTCTTGTCAACTGTTGATATGGGCCAATCTCATTACCACTTCAAAAGTTATTTTTCCTCCCTTGGTATCCTGCTGTTAATTGAATTGTCTCGTTAGACTGACCTCTCACTTGGTAAGACAACTCACATCTTTTCATGTATTTATACCTGCTCCTATATTTTCCACTCCATGCATCTGATGAAGTGGGTTCTAGCCCACAAAAGCTTATGCCCAAATACATGTGTTAGTCTCTAAGGTGCCACAGGACTCTTTGTTGCTGTTTACTCTGAAACATGTTCAACAAGTGTTATTCCTTCAGCTGAGATAACTATAAAGAACCTGAAAGATACAAGAATTAGCACATCCCTTTTGATTCGCACTCCACTGCACCCTTACGCTTCACCAAACAGAGAGGGTTTATGGAAAGGGGAATGAGATATACCAGCATAGGCCCTTTTAAATCGTATAACTGCATCTGCATTGGTGGTTTGAAGAAAGGCTTTCCCCAGCCATAATTCAGAGATGAATCAGCTTTTCTCAGCCATAGTCAAATAGAACAGTTTGAACCAATATTAACACAGGATAAGATTAGGCTTTGTTTCAGCATGAGACTATACCCATATATGGCGCTGCTTGTTTTACACAGTAAGGCTACAGACTAAACCGGTTTCACTACAATATCACTCTTTCTACCAATCACCTTTCACCTTTTTTCCATGCTGTTTTATACCCCACGAGAGACTCAGGGCAAGGTCCAAATACCCAGGGTCCATCTTAAAACAAACATCACTGGCTTATGTCCACACCCAGAATTTCTGGGCTCCCTAAATACTTTCCCTGGGTTATCTTAACAGGCAATACTTCCCCTCCCACAAGCACTGTGTGTGTATGAAACAAGGAAAACTTTTAGGGAGAAAAAGAAACAGGATCCATTTGGGAAAACACAGCAGCACTATCTATATGAAGGAAACAAAAACACTGCCACACAGTAACTTGGGCAGTAGCCCATTACCTGAGATCAGTACCTGCTAGAGTGAACATCCTATACTAGGCACATGTCCCTTTATCACATCACTTCCCTCTTCCCCATCTGCTAAACCCTACTCACAGTTTGATGTCAGTGAGTAGCGTAGTCCCAGAGTTCTCAGGTGCATTCAAGCAAGCCTGTCTCCAGTCCTTTGGGAGGTGCTGCCTGCTCCTATCCTGAGGCTCCACCAGCTAAACTGGCTATGTGAATTCAGCTTTATTTAGAGGCTGGATAGGAGGGAGCCTCACCGGAGTTCACTCAGCTCTGTTGCCATCCTCCGTGGCTTCAGCCCTGCACCCTGTTGAGGAGCCATCGCTCAGTCTGTTTCCAAGAGCCATTCCTGCCTCATCTCCCATTGAAGAATCCACCTAATGGCACATAATCTTGGGGGGGGGGGGGGGGGGGGGGGGCGGAAAGAAGACGGATAGGGGACGCATACAGGATCTTTCCACAGAGTTTTTGCTACCAGAGATGCATTTCTTGCTACAAGGTGTTGTCAGTTGGCGTGCGTGTGTTTTCTCTCTGTGTGCTGTCCCAGCTCTGTGTAGCTATGCCTAGCGGATCATGACAGCACTACCCAGAAAGACCACAGACTCAGATCAGTGGCGAAGGCGCTTGGCCAGGTTTATTGTCGATGAATTGTGGTACTAGCTTGCTGGCTCCTTGTCTACAAATACGCTAACACATGTATGCTTCTCACAATGGTACCAGCTCAGTCAGAATCAGGGCTTTTTGCTGCCCCCTCAGCTGGAGAAAGGTACCCCTCCTCTGATTTTTTTTTATATATATTGATACAAACAAGTTATGTATTACATTTCTGATGTGTTTCAGAGTAGCAGCCGTGTGAGTCTGTATCCGCAAAAAGAACAGGAGTACTTGTGGCACCTTCAACTCCCACCTGTTCATGCTCTTTGTATGTGTGTATATATATCTCCTCAATATATGTTCCATTCTATATGCATCCGAAGAAGTGGGCTGCAGCCCACGAAAGCTTATGCTCTAATAAATTTGTTAGTCTCTAAGGTGCCACAAGTACTCCTGTTCTTATTTCTGATGTGGTTAACTACCAACCCTACACCTCGTACCTGATGGATCCAACAAAAACATCTCTATCCATCATCCTGTCCTCCCACCCTTGTCTTCCTCAGGGTTGGAGTGCTCTTGTACCATCTCCCAGAGTTGTGTTTATGCCATAACTTTATGTTGGGGTTTACCTGTTGTGACATATCTCCGGAGAACAACCTGGAACTGTGGGACCGCTGTGCTCCCTTAACTCTCCTCTCTGGGCTCGCAGCAAACCCCTCCCGGTGCTGTGATCTCTCAGTCAACAGCATGCAGAGACACATCCAGCTAATTGGCATGAATACTCTGTAAGCCACTTAGGAACTATACATAAGAGAGACACCAGCAAATACCCCCAGCTCCAAGCCTTGCACCCCAGAAATGTACCATCTTGCACTGCTCAAGACCTTCTTTTGAACAATGCAAGCTCATTAATTAGTTTGCCACTTCATCAAAGGATAGTGAACATGTCCAGCCTTTATAATCTCAGCAGATTCCCCAAGCACTTTAGACAAACTCACTGGTAAGGATAAAACATTAAAATAAGTTTATTAACTACAGAAAGATAGATTTTAAGTGATTATAATTGTTAGGCATAGAGGTCAAAGTTGGTTGCATAAGAAATAAAAATAAAATCACAATCTAAATTCTAAACTTTATCAGACTAAGCAAGATTTGAATCAAACATCTTTTCTCACCCCACTGGATGTTGCAGGTGGCAAGGGCTGAATTCTTTGCTCAGCCAGGAATCTCCTCAGTTCAAAGTCTTTTCTTCCAAACATTCTTGTTGCCTTCAGAGTAGGTGGGGGAGGAGAGAGGCCAGGGGCTGATGACACAGACTCCAGTTTATACATCCCAATCCATGTGCATGGAAAGATATTGTTTCAAACAAGTCAGGGATCACATGTTCTGTGACCCCTGCTGAGTCACTGGGTTAAGCAATCCCCATTGTCTACATGCCTTGGGAAGGTCCCAGTGGGAGAATGGATTCTCCTTAATGGGCCATCAACAGATGGCCAGCTAGTTCTGTTGTAAATCTGTCTTGAGGGTGTTGGCTTTGTTGCCATCCAAAGGCCAGCTATGGGCGGCTCCCAGACTCAACATATTTCAGTAACACACACATAGCAAAGCTTCATAATTTCAGATACAATGGTAATTCAACAGGATAGTAATGTTCAACTGATCATGACTAAGGCTAAGATTTTGTCACGGTTATTTTTAGTAACAGTCATGGACAGGTCACAGGAAATAAACAAAAATTCACGGAGCCCATGACCTGTCCGTGACTTTACTAAAAGTAACGGGGGGGGGGGGGGGGGGGGCAGGGCTAGGTAAGGGGGAAGAATGGAGTCCCATGGGGAGGGACTGACAGATCGAGCCCCCCACCATGGCAGGAGGGTGCAGCCCTGGCTCCAGTGGCAGAGGCCCCCCTGGGGTGTACAGCCCTGCTCCAGATCAAGCCCGGGATGCGGTGGGCCAGCCGTCATGCCAGCTGTTGGGAGGGAAGCGGTGGAGGGGAAGGTGCTTGTAAAGGCAACACCAGGGAAAGTCCCAGTGATCATCCAGCCAGGCTTCTACCGCTTCCTGCTGCGGTGGGGCTGGCAGCTGCGCCGCAGGGCTGGGTTGCACGGCCCAGCTGCAGCCCCTGGCGGAAGGTGGCCCCGGCTGCAGCCCCGCCAACCCCAGGACCGCGGGGCTAGGGCACACGGCCCTTGCTGCAGCCCCGCACCTCCCAAGCCCGGGACGCCACGTGGCTGGGGTGCATGGTCCCGGCGGAAGTCGCTGGGTAGGGGCTGCAGGGTCCTCCTGGTTCCAGCTCCAGTTGCAGTGCAGCGGCACACAGTCCCGCCTCCGCTTCCTGAAGCCCTAGAAGTCACGGAGGTCGGGTAAAGTCACGGAATCCGTGACTGCTGTAACCTCCATGACTAAATCGCAGCCTTACTCATGACTTCTCAAATTATACCTCACAAGGCATATTTTGTACAAAACATACCATGATCATATCACAGTGGTGAATGTGGGGGTTCCAGGGTGCTATTTTGAGGTACAGAGTGTCACCCCTATGTTAGCCTTCTGGAACCTGTTTATATTAATATCCAGTACCTAGTACTTCTTAGGAGTGCCTGTGTTTTTGCAGCGCTAGCTGTGTTTTTGCCAAGTTCATGTACCGGACAGTGAACTTGTAAGCAAGCATCTGCTTTATGACAGGGTCTGATTTTGGTTCATAGCCTGGTTCTTGCTGACTTTGGTCCAGGCATCAGACCTTGCACCAGACCCGGTGCTCCAGGCTCCCTTCCTTCTATTACACAAGATAGGAGCCCTTTCCCCTTATTTCAGTTCAATTCCACTACCCAACCAGTTCTGAGCTGTGTATCTTTATGGTGACTCCTCAAGTGTCACTGAAAGAATTCTTATTCAGAGGAAGCTTTCTGTAGCCATACTTTCCCTCCCGTCCATCAACAGATGGCAGAGAGCGCCTTCCCCTTTGGAGTTTCTGTCCACCTGGAATTATAGCTTGATAAGGATGAAACAGCGATGTGGCCATTCTTCCCCCGTCCACCAACAAATGGGAACAGAGAGCACCTTACCTCTAGGGCTTCAGAGCACAGGGAATAAAACATCAATAGAGCAGGTTTCATGGGCAAATGGTTCTTCTGTTAAATGAAAGAAAGATTATATATAACAAGTATTACATGTAAACAGCTGTATGTTTGTTATCAACAGCAGTCTACAGGTCCAGTTGAAACTGAGAAATTCCTACAGTTATACTAGGAATTGAGGATATTTACACGCTAGTACGTTGCTAATTCCTGTAGACAACAATAGTATAGAAAACACTTTCCTTTTCAGTGATCACTACCAGATAGCTGTAGTGTACACAATAGCACCATCTTCTATCTGTCTTAGTACTTAAATGCCCCACTTTCCATGGTATCTGTACACCTTGTTAATGTTTATCCACACAAAACCCCAGTAAGATAGGGAAACAGATAGGACATAGAAAAAGGGTAACATTTTCAGGACCCTAAATCTCATTTTCAAACATGACTAAGGGCTTGTAATGAGCTCTAAATGGGCGTGATTTCTAAAACATACTATGATTGGTTGGCATAGACCTCTCCGGTGCACTTGAACATAGTGCTGTTTAAAACAGTACTACATTAAAGAAACACACTAAGGAACTTTTAGTGTGCACCAGCAGAATCGACAAGGACCAACTGATGTGCAACATATTAGTGTGCTTTAGAAATCACCCCTCCATAGAGCACATTTTAACCTAAGTCACTTTTATGTAAAATTTCCAGAAGTGCCTAAGTGACTTGACAAGGGCCACACAGGAACTCTAAGGGTATGTCTACACCCAGCCGCTAGTTCGGCGGCTGGCAATCGAAGTTCTGGGTTCGACTTATCGCGTCTTGTCTGGACGCGATAAGTCGAACCAGGAAGTGCTCGCCGTCGACTGCGATACTCCAGCTAGACGAGAGGAGTACCGCGGAGTCGACGGGGGAGCCTGCCTACCGCGTGTGGACCGAGGTAAGTTCGAACTAAGGTACTTCAAACTTCAGCTACGTTATTCACGTAGCTGAAGTTGCGTACCTTAGTTCGATTTGGGGGTTTAGTGTAGACCAAGCCTAAGACAGAGGATGGAATTGAACCAGGTCTCAATAGTGCCCTTACCTGTAACTGCCTTGTTAAATAGCTATAAAAACAAGGGAAGGGAAGACTGGGATGAACAATATAGGCAGGAAACCTGGCCAGGAACCTATCCTTGCAACAAAGCCCGATGCCAACTCTGTCCACATATCTATTCAAGTGACATAATCATAGGACCTAATCACATCAGCCATGCCATCAGGGGCTTGTTCACCTGCACATGTGATATATGCCATCATGTGCCAGCAATGCCCCTCTGCCATGTACATTGGCCAAACCAGACAGTCTCTATGCAAAAGAATTAATGGACACAAATCTGACATCAGGAATCATAACATTCAAAAACCAGGAGGAGAACACTTTAACCTGTCTGGTCACTCAATGACAGACCTGCGGGTGGCAATTTTGCAACAGAAAAGCTTCAAAAACAGACTCCAACGAGAAACTGCTGAGCTTGAATTGATATGCAAACTAGATACAATCAATTTAGGCTTGAATAGAGACTGGGAATGGCTGAGCCATTACAAACATTGAATCTATCTCCCCATGTAAGTATTCTCACACTTCTTATCAAACTGTCTGTACTGGGCTTTTCTCTCTTACTTAATTGGCCTCTCAGAGTTGGTAAGACAACTCCCACCTTTTCATGCTCTCTGTATGTGTATATATATCTCCTCAATATATGTTCCGTTCTATGCATCCGATGAAGTGGGCTGTAGCCCACAAAAGCTTATGCTCAAATAAATTTGTTAGTCTCTAAGGTGCCACAAGTACTCCTGTTCTTTTTAAGATAGCCAGGCATCAATTAAAAAAAAAAAATCACATTTTGTCTAAAGCTGCACTACCACATGAACAGACCCCCTCCCCATTGACTTCATCGAGGCTCTTCTCTGGCCCCACTTGCAAGATAAGAGTCCACATTTTGATGAAGAGGGTAACTGAATACTATTAGCAGATTTTAAAAAAAAGCTGTGCCATCTGAACAGGATTCAGTCTTGTGCAAACATCACTGTGCAGAACTCGAGAGAAATCCTCCTTCTCGACCCAGAAAATCTATATTGACTGGAACCCTAGGAATCTGAATAGGAAAAATTGTATAAAAGTGAAAGGAGCGCCACAGAGGCAATTCACAATAGCATATTGCTAATACTGATATATACCCTAGAGGGCTGCATAGTGTTTTATAAAGACACACACATCACATCGTTCATGGTCTCAGACATGATAATCTATTAATGGTTCCAGAGAATCAATGATTCTGCATTAGGCCTGGTCTACACCATTTTTTCGTTAGGGGTGTGATTTTATACAAATCCAGTTAAACTGGTACAGCCCTAGTTTAGTGCAGACATGGTGACTGTGATACTGGTATAACAGCATCCCCACTAGGGGGCCGTACTGCTTTAGCTGTATCAGTTCCTAAACCAATACAAGAGATTTTTAAAAAGTGTGAACCAGTACCAGCCCGTAGGTTGTCCAGTACCCGCCTCCGTCTGAATCTCCGCTCAATTCGGAGTGGTCATCAGCAAACTGCGTAAGGCTTGAGAACCGCTGCTTCAGCCGACTCAAGACAGGCGGGGTGAAGGTGGAGCAGTTGCTGCATTATTATAAGAACTACCAGCCTGAAAAAGCCCTTTGTCAGCCCGGCCTGCATCTGTCGGGGCCGGTTCCCGGCTGGCATCTTGCAGGGCCGCGATAGGCTCTGCCCCAGAGCGGAACGCCGGGCCCCAGCCCAGAGAGGAGAGAGCACAAGGCACCCCCAGCCTCTCGGCTTCTTTGTCTCCGCGACTTCCACCCTCCTCCCCAAGCGCTTCAGCCGCCCCCGAGGAGCCGCCAATCGGCAGCCAGGCGGAGGGCTCAGCCGGAGGGGTGTTGTCTCGCCCGCTGCCGCTGATTGGAGGCTTCCCCTTCCCCATAAGGCTCTGTCTCCCCCCGCCTCGCAGCAGCGGCGTCAGAAATAGAAAGGGCGAGAGCGGAGCAGGTTGCGCTGGGCAGGGCTGGAACGGGTGCCGGGCGCTGCTGCCATCGCTACCCGGGGGAGGCCTCGCGAGTCCTTGATCTCGATCCGCCGACCCCCGCATCCAGCCCCTGCAATCCCGAGGAAGCCGCCGGAGCAGCAGCGGTGGTGCCCCCGTGCAGCGAGGGGGGAGCAGCACGCACCGGGCCTGCAGCAAGGGACCGCGGAGAGCAGGATGGCGCTGGATTTCCTAGCGGGATGCGTTGGCGGTAAGAGAGGAGCGAGGCTCCCCCGGCGCTGGGCCGGTGGACGGGCGAGTGCCTGGGGATTGCTGCAGTGATCCGGTTACATAAGCGGCTGCTAGCAGCGAGGGGTGGGAGCCGAGCCGGGGCGCTGGGGGCGCAGAGCAGGGGCCGCTTTGGAGGCGCACTGACGGTGGGGGGTGCACAGGAGATGGGGGTGGATCAGACTCCCCGCGCCGGGGCGGCTGGGGAGAAGGAGTCCAAGCGCTGGCGGGTCCTTCCCCGCCCTGCGGGCTGTTGGCGTGGCAGCTTCGCTCTGCCAGCGCCGGGAGCTTGACGCCTCCGCTCGCTCCGCGCGCCCTGAATGGCTCCGGCTCTTTGTAGGGGCCGGGCTGGGCCCATTGTCTCAGCCCGCGGTTGGAGGCTGGAGCGTGCGCGGAGCTGGTGCAGGAGCAGGGGATGAGTCAGCGCCCAGGAGTCGGGTTTCTTCGCGGAAACGCGATTTCTGCTCCGTCCAGGGCCGCCAAGAGCAAAGGGGGGAGCTCGAACAATGAGCCGCACCTCTGTCCCCTCCTTCCGAACTGAGCATCATACCCTTCTCCACAGCTGCTCCCCAACCCGGTCACCTCCTTTGGCGCACGTCCTGAGTCTCCTCACCTCCCTTTGCCCCCCAGAACAGCCACCACTTCCGCCCTCCCTCCCAGTCCCCCCACAACGTGCAAACCCCTATGCTGAATCTGCCCCTGCCCGGGGCCTCCTGTTCCTTGTGCGCAATACACACCCCGTGTAGCTCTTACACTAACTTCCACTGCCTGCCCACACGTACAAAGGGGACTCTCATTCCTGCTGATCACATTGATGGGAAACGTGCCTAGATGCGGCATTAGCTGCTTTCTTAAGCTTACGTACTTCCCGTAGCAGGGGGATGCCAGGGCAGGTGGGAAGGCCCTGCAAGGGGGTAGGGTATGGCACCCGCTTGGCAATCTGTACTTGTGTTTCTTTCACAATTGTGCGCAGCCTCTAACTTCTGTGTAGGGAGTTGCTTGCCTGCCTCTGGCAATAGCTGTGAACTCCAGAGAGCAAGAGATCTTATCTCTGTTAGAAAGAATAGAGGCTTTTTCCATTAACAAGTCAACGACTAAGGATCAGTGGGCCATCTGAATAAAACAACGCAAGTGTAACCTTTAGCTTTCTCCCTTGGAAGAGATGTTAAATGGTTAGCTGACTGATGGCAGTAAAACCTTTACATAGAAGGTAGAGATGGGAGGGAAAAACACTATTGGAATCCACTGCTCTGTAAATGAAGTATATAGTCATCAGGGTGGATTTCAGGAAGACTCGATATAATCATGGATTTCTACATAAAAGTGTATCCTTGTTGGTTGTTATAACCTTAATACATATTCTTCACAACTCAGAGATAGATGAGACCCAGTTTGGGCCTGCTGCCATTATAGGTTTTCCCTTCTAGTGAGAGAATGGTATGGTAGATCTCAAATCAATGAAGGCTATACTCAGGGTATGTCTACACTACCCACCGGATTGGCGGGCAGTGATCCAGTGGGGATTGATTTATCGCATCTAGTCTAGTAAATCTAGTCTAGACGCAATAAATCGACCGCCCTCTCCCATTGACTCCTGTGCTCCAGCGCCACAAGAGGCGCAGGCAGAGTCGACGCAGTGAAGACACCACGGTAAGTCGATCCAAGTATGTCGACTTCAGCTACGTTATTCACGTAGCTGAAGTTGCGTAACTTAGATCGATTTTCCCCCTCCCCTCCCCGTAGACCAGGGCTCAGAAAGATCTCAAGACTTCTGGAATATGCTGCTCAATCAGTTTCACTTTTGTTTCTACTGTCTGTCCCTCCCTTCTCACATTTATCTCCAGAACACTTCTCCTTGTCCAGATCTATTTCGCCCCCAACAATCTTCTATTCATTTAGCTTTTTGAAACTTCTAGAGAGAGGTAAGGGATTGAAATCTCTGTACACTCCTTTGCAGAGGGACAGTAGGGTTGAGGTCTGTTATTTCTCACCTCTGTATATTTATTTATTTCATTTAAAAACATTTTTGCTGTTAACAAGCATGTTATCTCTGGAGACACAAATCCACAGTTTGAGAACTGCAAAACTAAGCATCTCTGATGGTATCTTCTAGACTTAGCACTGAGTCCCATTGGGTAGATGGAGTATTTAGGTTAATCTTTCTATACAGAAGCCCCTGAAACCCCATAAGATTGGGTCCCTAGTCCGTGAATTATTGGAACTCATTTTAAAAAAAACTTTTCTTAAACATTACATGAATATATTGTTTCATACTTTAGAATTTATAATCTCTATTCCATGATGAGATATCTTTGAGCTATAATGATTGCTTTTTTCCTCAAAAAGCATTTTATCAAAAAATCTGATTTAAATAAAAAAAAATCATTTTTTATTTATTTATTTTTTAAATCATTGATTTTTATCCACCCTGATAGTTGTGCTGTAGGGGATGTGCTAGATCTTTAACACTATACCTTCTGATTTATACATCAGAATTTCATAGAGGATTTAAATATAGTAACTCCTCACTTAACGTTGTCGTTATGTTCCTGAAAAATGTGACTTTAAGCGAAACGAGGTTAAGCGAATCCAATTTCCCCATAAGAATTAATGTAAATGGGGGGGGCGCTAGGTTCCAGGGAAACTTTTTGCACCAGACAAAAGTCTCTCTCTCATATAATATACACACACAGTATAAGTTTTAAACAAACAATTTACTACTGGTACACAGTGATGATGATTGTGAAGCTTGGTTGAGGTGGAGGAGTCAGAGGATGGGATATTTCCCAGGGAATGCCTTACTGCTAAATGATGAATTAGCAATTGGCTGAGCCCTCAAGGGTTAACTCTCACACTCTACAAGGCAGCAGGAATGGAGGGAGGGGAGACAGCATTGCAGACAGAGACTGTGTGTGTGTTGCACATTTCCCCTTTAAGTATGTTGACCCACTCTTAAGTACACTGCCTTGTTAATTAGATCAGCTTGCTGAGACTGCAGCTGCTGCTAGCAAGCTCCCCCTGTCCTGAGCCCTGTCCTATGTCCCCCCTGCTCTATGGAAGATGGGGTAAGTGGGGTGCAGGAGCAGGGGGGAGGGGGATACCCTGACATTAGCCCCTCCCTTCCCCCCTGCACAGCAAGCAGGAGTCTTGGGGAGCAGCTCCAAGGCAGAGGGCAGAAGCAGCACATGGTAGTGTGGAGAGGCACAGCTGAACTACCGGCAATTGATAGCCTGCTGGGCAGCTGCTGCACAGGGAACTTAGGGGAGCGGGGAGCTGATAGGGGGGCTGCCGGTCCACCCTGGTTCCAAGCCCCCACCAGCTAGCTGCAACAGGCTGCTCTTCCTGCAAGCAATGGACAAAGCAGGCGGCTGCCAAAAGACTTAGAAGGGAGCATTGCACAACTTTAAATGAGCATGTTCCTTAATTGATCAGCAACGAAACAACGTTAACTGGGATGACTTTAAGTGAGGAGTTACTGTACTTAGGGTTAGATTCACAAAAGGACTTAAACACCGAACTCCCACAATAAGGCCCCAGTGGGGAGTTCTCTCTCCTTGCTTCTTACTAAAACAGCATAGGCATGTAACACCAAGAGAGGGCATGCAGCTGAGAATCCCAAACAAAGGGAGGTGCCTTGCTGCAGCCTAGAGTTGGGCCCTTATCTCCAAGAAAGCGGCAGAGCTTATCACAGGGCACTTGGCTTCATCTTGGCCCTTAGCTAGGTTAGGTAAGGAGCCATCTAGTATGCAGGCTTTTCATGACTCCTATTCTTAGGCACCAGTGTCTCCCCATTTGTTGCATAAGAAGCCTAGGTGCCAAGATCAGGCTTTGTGAATCCCAGTGACTTTTTAGGCACCTGAGAGTTAGGCATGGCAACACTCACTGTCACCATGCCCACGTTCCTTTATCAATCTAGGCCTTAGTAACTGAGGCCAGGTCTCCACTCAGAAGTTAAGCTTATCCATATAGATAAGGCTAGGTCAATGGAAGAATTCTTCTGTCAACCTAGCTAAGGCTTCTCAGGGAGGTGGATTAACTACACTGAAGGGAGAACACTTTGCATCACTGCAGTGAGTGTCTACACTGAAGGGCTAGAGTGGCACAGCTGCTCTGCACTAGCAGATCACGTGTAGGCAAGCCCTTAGTGTATTTAAACAATGTCTAATGGTACATGGATGAGTAAGGGTAAAGCCACCAATCATCATTAAAGAACTGTTGTCGCTGAGTTTTTTATACTTCATTACCCGAAGACTTTCTTTACAGGCTTCAAAATAGTAGGCAAAGAACCTTACGCCTAGTTCTAACCACGCTGTAGTGAGATGATCTCTTCACTCCATTCAGTTAGGACTCGAGCAAATTCTATCAGGAGTACTGTGTTGGGACACTGCTTTCCACCACATCTGGAAAGACTGTCAGCCTATTCTTACAAGAAGCCTTGTTTGTCTCAGTTTTGCTCCTATCCAGTAAAGATCATATATACCTGACAATTATTTCCACTTCAAGGAAATCTGTCACTTCTACATGGACGTGCCTGTGGTACCACAGTATTTGCCTACTGGGGATGACGACGTCCATAGATTTTAAGGCCAGAAGGGATCATTAGATAATGTAGCCTGACCGCCTGAATAACACACCACAGAATTTCACCCTTTCTTTAGCCCAGTGACTTGTTTGACTAAAGCATATTTTCCAGAAAGCTATCTAGTCTTAATTTGAAAACATCAAGAGACGGAGAATCCACCGCTTCCCCTGGTAATTTGTTCCATGTGTGGCCTGCCTGTAACAAAGTGCACCTTGAGTTACACCTAGAGTTACCAGCTCATTCTAGGTCTACTGTAGCATTGGATTGCTGTAAGGGAAAAAATGCTAGATCGTACAACCATAAAACTGCCATTTATCTTGTTGCAGGTGCTGCTGGGGTGCTAGTAGGACATCCATTCGACACTGTTAAGGTGGGTTGATTTTGAACAGGTTTAATTTCCACACTCTAGGCAGAAAGGAGTGCAAAAGTATTTACAAGGGGGAAAAAATATAAACACCGGCATTTCAGAAGCTTAAGCCTGATGGTCCAAAACTTGAAGCAATCCTTTTCAAGTATTCTTCTAGACTTGCTGAAGCCCCAGATCTTTAAAAGCAAATGAAAACCATTTGAATGTAAGATTCAAACCAGTAACAGGACAGAGTTTAAACTTAAGAATTTAGATCCAGGCTTGCTTCCCTGCAGCTGTTTATCACTGACCTCTAAAACTGTCTGTACCCTCTCTTGTAATTTAATCTTATTTTGTTATGGGCTGGAATTTTTCCTTTAAAAAAAAAAAAAAAAAAAAAAAAGTTTTCCTATTCACTCTGAAAGCATTATTTGTTACATTGGCCAATAGTTATATCATTAGTGCATGAAGCAGCAGTTTCACAATTTGACACACTGTTTTGGGCTTCTTTCCTTGAAGAGGAAAAAGAATCTGTTTACCTTCCTAGCCAGAATTGATTTTTCCTTTGAGAAACTAATGACTATCAGCTGTTTGTATCGTATGCAGATAGACTGAGATTTAGGATTCAAGTAGCTAGAAATAGAAGGCATATTAGCCAATTCTGAAAATACTATGTCTCTTGGAAAGTCAATGAGGCTTAGGCTCCTAAGTGTCTAAGTCACTTTTCAAAATGGGATATAGGCACTTTGAGAGTTCTACTCCATCTAGTCACCTGTAAAGGCAGAATATAGTCTCCCAATAGAAGATATACCCAGTAATAAATTAATATACTGTACTTGATAACTTTCCCCTCTACAGAGCATGCCATCTCACATTATGCTTATTAAGTTCAGCACAAAGCTGGATATCTAAATACAATAAATAAGGGAAATATCTGAAGACTATTAAGAGTGTGCATCGCCCTATTACATATTTTAGCCACATGGTTTATTATTGAAAAGACTCTCATATCTACTGGATATTAAGTTCCTATCAGTCCAATGAAAACTGTTCACACTTCAGGATATGTTAACCTTCGCTATTAAACAGTTCGGCTGCATTTCACTAAATGCATTCTCATTGATTGTATTACTTAAATTTGCAACTATTTTTAGAGTTGGTGCAGAGGAAAAGTACTAGGGCCCCACACCTACAAAGATTTAATCATGCTTAAATGTATGGCTTGTGTCTAGTTTGATTGACTAAAGTGGAACTACTAAAATACATGCTTAACTTCAGGTTTGGGGAGATGTTTAAGTCAATGGAACTACTGAGAGGATATAAAAAGCAAGTGCTTAAGTCTGAAGGATTGATACTCTAGTGTTGAATGTTCTAATAGTTGTAATTTTTTTAAATTAATCATTATTTAATGTGCAGTGAGAGCTGGATTGGCCGTAGACTAACTTTTATGACAGTTCAATGGAGTATTGTCAATTTCTGTAATTGTTTTAATAGTTGTTGCTTTATTAAATCCAGGGTAACTTATTTTCATACTGGTAGAAGGAAATAGTACTTTCCTACTTTTTCCATACTGGAGAATACAATACTAACCAGTATTTGTATAATCAGCCAGTATAATCACTATTAAAGTATGGGGAAAACTAAGAATTTGTAACCGGTCTTTAAAAAGAGAGAACTGTTTATAAAATGCTGTATCTTATGTGTTCTGTTAAGATTAACTCTACAGGACTGATGGCTAATTGGATTGGTGTTTTTTTGTTTTGTTTTTTTTTTAACTATACTAAAGTGTTAATACACTAATTTAAAAATGGGGAAGCTGCATTAATAGAGCCAGAATTCTGCTTCCTCCTCAACCTTTAAACCTTTTTGCCAGCAATCATGCTTCATAAGGGCAAAAACATGAGGGAGAGGGAAGGTGGGATGGGGGAGAGGAGGGGAGATGGTGGAAACACATAGGATAAAGAATTAATTTCTAAAATCATGCTAAAACCAATCAAACAGATTTTGAGTCTAATCTCAAAAGTGGCAAACTCCCTTTCCCTGGTTTGTTGATGTAATGTGTAAAATTGCTTTGTTGCTTTTAACTGCCTTTACTTTCTGAGCTAGGGGCTGTCTTCATTAACAGCAAAAGTGTTACTTTGTTGTAGATGACAGATAAGCCTCATCACTGGAGAGTTACCTAGTAAGTATAGACCAGGTGAACACTTCTGTTTCTCTCAGTCTTAATTTATTCCAAAATGTATGATTAGTTCAAACAGACAACCTTATATAGTTTTTCTCCCCCCACCCCCTTTTAGTTTTAAACTGATGTGTCCCATTACTAGTGTTTTGAATTGGAGGGAGTGGGGTATGAGAATCCCTTTTTAATGGGAACATTTTTAAGTCTATAGATTTTTCTTCTGAAAGTTTCTGGTGTGCATTTCTCACCATGTGCTTAAGGTTGTGCACAAAGTGGTTGTGAAATTGGATCTTGGGCACACTTTCAATTGATCTGTTTCATCCACTTCTTAAATTTGGAGGGCATATGTTTAGTTTAGACATATCTAAAATGCACCAAACTTGTGCACACTTAATATTTGCTTTTTTTTGCTGCTCACTCTTTGATATCGTAAAACAAATTTTCAGTAATTGTAAAGTGAAGTTACTTTTGGGCCTGCCTGTTTAAATCACCATGAATTGTCAGATGCAGGAAGGAGGAAGATAAGAATTTATCAGCAGATTAATGATCTAGTATAATTTTGTAATAAAACCCACCTCTGCGCAGACTCTCATAAGCCAAATTGCATAGCATAAAAGCATCAAACTTTATTTTCTGCTCAAAATATTAAAATGTGGCAGTGAGCCATGGATAAATTGCATTTATGAAACATTTACCTCCACTGTGCCAGTTAACACATCTCTGTCCTGACTAGTTCTGACATTGACAATTGACGTGTCTTCAAACAGCTGCCATTTAAAAAACAAACAAAATCCCTCCCATCATATCTAGATTTGGTGTTTTTATGCCCAATTATACTGGCCTAAGGTTTGAGAGGTAGTATTCAGTCCTGTCCAAGTGATAGGTTCAAGGTCCAATATTTCAGTTAGGACTAGAAACTGAAGCTTTATACCAAGGATTCCAATGTGGATACAGAGCACACTTTTGGCATCTTTTATCTGCAAACACTTACGTATAGAAAAGTTATTGGGCAGTGAAAGGTCTTAAACTTAAGTTATTTCCTTTACTTCCAAGGCCTATACAGTTTGGGACTCATTGTAAACCAGGTAACTTGGCTTTACAGCCAGGGGATATGAAAAATAGTACCAATAAAATTAAACTGATTGCTCTTTTATTCATGGTAGTGTAGTATTAAATTTATTGGCATTGCTCGGAATGAGCGTCCTAGCTCACTTAACGGCTCTGCTACTTGTAACAATCCCAAATTAAGGCTGATAAATCACACACACACACACACACACACACACACACACACACACACACACACACACACTAAATTTGTTAGTCTCTAAGGTGCCACAAGTACTCCTGTTCTTTTCACACCACACTATCACCTATTCAGTAATCTGTAGGAAATTAAGAGGCTATGATCTCTTCAAATCACATTGTAAACTTAGTTCAGTGTGGTTTGTAACTGGTTTAATATTTCTCTGTACTGCAATATTTTAACAAGGTCTCTTCCCTGGAGTGAGTTGTCCTGCCATATGGCAGGCTAAAAAAGGTGCTCTTGTGCTTAGATAGTTCAAACCATCTTTTGCTTTTAAAAAGTGACCCTTGACATTTAGTTTGCATATTACATGATCTAGTTCTTACTTTGAGGAAAATACTAATGATATTTAACTTGGAAAGTAAATTTTACTGTCTCTTTAAAAGTGAAAACTAAATACGAAACTTTAACAAAAAACAAACCTGGCCAAAATCCTTTCCTGACCCACACGTTGCCTTCACTATCATAGATATTCTGCTGTTGCTGTATGCATGGGTCTTCCATTGACACCGATGGGAGCTTTAAGCAGATAGGGAGAACAGTTACTGGATTCAAGAATCCATCATGCAAATTGGAGAACTACGGTATCTAGAATTAAAACTTCTTTTAAAAAGCATGTTTTGCTTTGAAATTGCAGCATATTGGATGGCTAATAGGTATCCCCTCCCAAAAATGCTCACAACCCTGCACTCTGATAAACAAAGACAAAGTTCTAGCTTTATCATTCTAGCCAGAATCAATGTTAATTACTGGAATATGGCTTTTTACATGTGTGTATCTGAGTTTAAAAATGTTTATAAAGTGCAGGAGACAAATTGGGGAGGGGGGGGTCAATTTGAAGTCTTAAAGGAGTGGCCTATAAATACATGAGAATATGGGGCCTTCCTCCCACACCCTATCCCTTCTCACTCCACACACAATTACAGTGGCATCTTTCTGACCAAAAATATACTGTTTCAGTCTAGAAAAACTATGGGTAAAGTGCATGTTGCATAGGGAGTATATATAAATCCGAGTAAATAAAGATCACTTAGAGCACTGTAGCTTAGAAATATGCTTTATAAAGCTTATTGAACCCTTAAGTTGGCATTCTGCCTTTAAATCCTGGGCCTGCTTTTTTTATTTTGAAAGAGCCTTGTGATTATTTTTTTTTTTTGGGGGGGGGGGGGGGTGCCCAATTTGAGACACCTTAGCAGTACCCGATTTTTCAAAAAGTGCTGAGCACCTGTGAGAAAAATCAGACCTCATTAAGGTGACTTAAGTTGGGCATCCACAAACACTAGCTTTTTTTTTTTTTTTTTTTTAAATCTTGGTCCAGACATTCTAAAATTGTTCATTTGAGGACTGATAGTATGTCATTGGCCACATTTCATGCTTAGTTTGTAGATCAGTTATAAAAATTCTCCATTACATCCCAAAGCGTTGACAAATATCATTAACATCTAGGTTAAGAAAGCTTTGGTTTTTTAGCGTGGGTGAAACCTATTGCCAGTTTTCACCCTATTGCACATTCAAAATGGCTAAATATTTCCCATTTTTTATAAAAAGGACTTAGTTTAATGAATGCTTTCCCCCAGGTTTTATCATCATCTTAAAAGCAATCAACTCTGAACATCTCTTTTTAAATGATTTTACATTGCCATTTATGGCATTCTGGTATCTTTACTGTGTGCTTTGTGTAGACACTACTGTAATATACCTCCATATATAGGTACCAAGCACTAGTGTACCAGTTACATCAATATTGCCATACAAATAACTTCTTCTCACTAAACTTCTTGTAGGTGCGCCTTCAAGTACAAAGTGTAGAGAAACCTCTCTACCGTGGGACCTACCATTGCTTTCAATCTATCATAAAGCATGAATCAGTAAGTAGCCAATTGCTGTTTTATACAAGGATAAATAAATGTATTTAATGTGATTAGAAAAACTATGAAATGGTAGTGTTTTACATTGATCTTAATTGAGCTCCAGATGGTGAAACTCTCACATTTCAACAGGACAGGTTTGTTATCTCTGGAACTTCCAAACAGTTAAGAATTTGCACCAAATTTTTTCAAACCTGGTTGTCAAAGCACTGGAATGACCTGTAATCTAGATGTCAAATGCATAAACAAGATCCAGTGGTTGGAAATCGAAGTCAACAAAGTTAACGCTTTGGAAATAAGATGCAATTTTTAAAGAAGGGAATTAACAATTGAACATTTTAAATCTCTGTGGAGGGTTCATCACTTGGAGCAATGGTCCCCAAACTGTAAGGCATGCCCCCCTAGGGGGGCATGGAGGAAGTTCAGGGAGGCATGCGGTGGGCCCCAGGCCAGACCCCACAGTGTGGTGGGGAGGGAGCACCGCAGCTCGCTCCACCCCCAGATGTAGCTACTCTGCTGAACCAGCTGCAGTAACCGAGGGGGTTTAGACAGATTCCATTACTGGGGGGGGAGGAGTGTGACAGGAAAAGTTTGGGCACCACTGACTCGACGTCTTTAAACAAAGACTGGATGTCTTTCTGAAAGATGCTCTAATTCATCCACAAGTTATTGGGCTGGATACCACAGATTTCACTCAGCTATTTTTGTATGTATAATACAGGAAATCAGACTATATGATCATAATGGTCCTTGTGACCATTAAGTAGATATGAGAACTTTAAACATTTAACTGGCAATGTTCTTATGCTGAAAGATGCTTTTTGGAGTTCTAGCTGTTGATCGAATTACTGCTTAATGCAGACAGACAATGTTGTACTCCTCTACCCCGATATAACGCAACCTGATATAACACTAATTCGGCTAAAACGCGGTAAAGCAGTGCTCCGGGGGGGGGAGGGGCTGCGCACTCCGGTGGATCAAAGCAAGTTTGATATAACGTGGTTTCACCTATAACGCGGTAAGATTATTAATTATTATTATTATTATTATTATTTTTTTTTTTTTTTTTGGCTCCCGAGGACAGTGTTATATCGAGGTAGAGGTGTACTTTGTAGGGAATCTCTGCCACCAGCCACCTTGTTGAGAAGTTGGAGCAACAGTTGTACAAGAGCTGAAGAGAAGCTTATTTTCTATGCAGTCTTAGAAAATCATTTACACCATTCTTAAATAGCATTTTGTTTTTAATTTATTTTCTAGGCATTTGGACTTTATAAAGGTATTGGGTCACCAATGATGGGACTTACCTTCATTAATGCACTTGTGTTTGGCGTTCAGGGAAACACAATCCGTGCTCTCGGAAAAGACACTCCTCTAAACCAGTTTCTTGCAGGTTCGGCAGCAGGAGCCATTCAGTGTGTGATCTGCTGCCCTATGGAGTTAGCTAAGACAAGAATGCAACTTCAGGGAACAGGTGAATACAATCTAAGGTCAAAGAATTACAAGAATTCTCTAGATTGCTTGGTTAAAATCTACCAAAAGGAAGGTTTGAGAGGCATCAACAGGGGCATGGTTTCCACATTCCTAAGAGAGACACCGAGCTTTGGCTTTTACTTCCTGACATACGACTCTTTGACCAGATACCTAGGCTGTGAAGTGGAGGACAGTTACATCATCCCCAAATTGCTGTTGGCTGGAGGCATGTCAGGAATTGTATCCTGGCTGTCTACCTATCCTGTGGATGTGATCAAGTCCCGGCTTCAGGCAGATGGAGTCAGAGGAGTTGTTCAATACAATGGAATTCTGGACTGTGTTAGAAAAAGTTACCGTGAGGAAGGTTGGAGGGTGTTTACAAGGGGTCTTACTTCTACACTTCTCCGAGCTTTCCCTGTCAATGCAGCTACTTTTGCCACTGTCACGGTGTTTCTTATGTATATGAGGTCGGAAGAGAATCTACATGAATGTGAGGCAGGTCCAGCAATCCAGCAGCCTTCAAGCTTGTGAATTCATTGTTCAGTGATCTAACACATCTGTTACATGTTTATTTTCTGGAGTTCATTTTACAGGGCTTATTTTTGTAAACATTTTATCTATAGAAATTGTGTAAATAAATTCTATCTGTATAAAGGCTGTTACTTAGGATTTCATCTCATCACTTCTATAAGCAGCTTATTGCCTTTTATAATGATCAAAATGTGTTAATCCAGGCAATGTAGGGATCTGACTTTAGAAACATACTGTACAGACACTGCTGCTCTATCACTACCTATGGTCTGGAGAATCTTGTAATACCAGAAACCAGGTTTTCTTCCAATCATGTTTTGAATGACCAAGTGGATCATATTGTTTGAATACAAAAAATGCTCTTTTGTATTTGACTGGGACACCTGTAGCCTTTATTAGAAGTCATGGTTTACTATGCTGGAGATGTTACAGAGAACTCTTAAATGTTTAAGGCATGGAGTAGCCTTCAGCTACCCACATCTTTCTCCTTGGCTTTTGTAAATTTTAGTTTAGTTATTTAAGTAACTTCTCTCACTTCCTTCTATACACAGATGTATTTCTTGTTTCATTGTGCTTAAAAGGAGCATTTGAACCCCACCTACATTTGTTTCTTTAAATTGCAGAGTTAAGGAAACTCAAGGCAAGTGAGGTTGATGGCATGATTTGCTTTTACTTTCACTTTCAACTTTATTCATTTTTGTGTGTGCATGGAATGTGTTAACTAGGTTTAGTGCAAGCAGCTTTTGTTCTTCTGGAGAGGTTTATGTAATTACATGCCACCGCTCACCATTCTCCAAACAGGCAATATGGCAGTCAGTGATGTGTAATACGAAGTCCTTTCTTAGTTACTGCTCAAATTGTTAAACTGTTGGGTCATCACTTATATACTTTTTTTATATAGTGGTGAAAATACACAGAGGCATAGAGGTGGAGGTTCCATATGCCACTGTGGAGTAATGGATAGGGGTGTAATGCCTAAGAAAGGGGATTAGGGTTTGGTATTACATTAAGTTCTTATACTACACTGTCCTGACTTTGTGTATTTGGTTACAGTGCATTGGGATAAAGTCATACTGAAAAGGGTTCTGGAGAACCTTTTGTAACATTCACCAGCTGTTATATTTATAGCAGTGTGCCCAAAAGGGATTACTTTAATGGCTTTAAACAAAATTATCCAAAATTTTGGATAAGAACCACAATTGCTTGGCACAAACAGATGAAGGGGAAGCATGTTAAATGTATCAAGCTTGCTCAGTGAGATAGTGGATGTTGAACATGTTACACTTCTGCTTGGGACAGGTGCAATATGTGTTTACACTTTTTAAAAAAAACTTTCAGTTCATAGCATTTTGTACTGTAACACAATATGCTGGAGAAACCTGTAAAACTGGTATGTCTCTATATACCTTGGAGGTATGTTGGATGTTTTGGTGCCTACCTGCACTGAGATTCAAACTGAATGTGAAACGTGTCTGCTAAGATGTATATGCACAACAATTCAGAGCAAAGACAATTACACCTTTGTACAGTATTCTGTATTTACTGTAATATAAACTTACGGAATAAAATTTTTAAAAATTTTGACTTCAGTCCTCTGCTCTTTTTATAAATAGAAGTGACCCTGTGTTAACACTTCTGTATTTAAACACCCTTTTGACTTGACTAATATACCTAGCTTCCAAAAGGATTGAAAGAGGCACACTTTCTTTGCCTAAAGGAATTTATTTTCTACATATGCTCCTGATAGCAAAACGTATAGCAATGGGCTGTTTTCAGCATGAGTGTAAAAGCTGAACTAAACTGATCGCTTTAAAACAGCAATGCTTTAAGGTATGTTTCAAGTTGCGTACTAATAATGCTTTTTCTTTTTTTATGGCCAGAAGAATAGGGTGACCAGACATCCTGAAATTAAGGGCTTTGTCTTCTGTGTATGTGTGTGTGTGTGTCCCTCCCCCCCCATTGATTTTTCACTTTTGCTAACTAGCTGCCCAACAGAAGTGTGACTGGGTACATAGTACCTCCTTACACAACCGCTCTGGGCCTACTGTTCAGTGTTATTTTATTGATGACTTCCCTTATTCTTGTTAGCTGTGTTAATTCTCCAGAACTAGGCAGGCTTGCTGATCAGCAGAGTTAAGTTCTGATTGCAGACTCAATTAATGGTATTGATGCTTGAGCCAGAACTAAGTTTGCTTTCCAGATTCATGTGTGACCGTGCAGGGCTAGTTGCTTTTTTGGGGGGGAAGCTTTTCTAGTAAAGTGAAGCAAACTCATGGAAGAAACACTGAGAACTCAGTAATGCCACTTTCAGAAGTATGATTGTGCTTTTAAAAGGGATGTATAGTTAGATCATGCTGTTACTGGGATTCCTTCAACGCTTACTTGTATAATATTTAAAATGTCTCAGCATGGCTTCTTTACATTCCAGCTAAAGGAAAAATAGATCTGGTTACAGGCTAAAAACCTGACTGACTACATGCTGTACTTCATGGAAATGAAAAAAGAATGATGTTGCAGGATAAGAAATCCACTTGGGATGAGCAGGCTTCTGATGTGTGTTATCTGACCTATAAAAGGAACATGATCTACTAATTCCTACCAGCAATGGGGTGATCTCCATGACTGTTCACATTTCCTTACATTTAGTGATGCTTGGCAAAAGGAGGCTCACGTTTGGCTTGGCAGAATTCATCTGTGGTTGGCACTTTCCCCAGCCACATGGAAGACTAGTAATGAAAAGGAACAGTTGGCAACCAGTTTGACTAGACTTGCTCCTCCTTTTCCTTTACTGTTGGAACAAGCCATGATCTTTCAACCATTGCCCAGGCTGCCGTACTGCTTCAGTTATCACAGCAGTGGCACCTTGGAAGAACTGCAGGGAGGAAGCAAGAGGCATGGAATGAGTTCATGCAGCCTCCTCAGAGCAGGAGAACTTCCTTCCCAGAGGGAGGAGGGTTGTGACTGTAGAAGGGGTAATATATAGCCACACTTTGGAGGGACAGCACACCACTCTGCTCAAACCACACACTTGCAAAGCCCACTAGGAATAAAAACTGAAATAAAACTCAACCCCCCTCCCCCCCCAAAAAAGTTTAATACTGCTACTCCTGTGGTGGCAAAGGCAGCTCTTGCTCCAATATTGTGAGCGAGCTCCACAGAAGAGGCTGTAAGCCAGTTGCCAATTCATCTTGCATGCCAGTTAACTGACAGAGAAGGTGGGTGAGGTAATACCTTTTTATTGTGCCAGTTTCTGTTGGTGAGAGAGAGCTGTTTTCAAACTTGCACAGCTTTTCTTCAGCTCTGTGGAAGTTCAAAAGCTTGTCTCTCACCAGCTGAAATTTGTCCAATACAAGGTGGCTGAGGTAATATCTTTTATCTCAAATATCCTGGGACCATCAGGGTTACAACAATGGCAGTTATTTGACAAACATTTGTGCTGCTTCTAACTATTAAAGCAAGTTAAGCAACAGCTTAAGTCCTCTCAATGGGATTCAGAGTTTGTTTGTGTCTCAGTTGATTTCATTTTCCTGTAAGATGTTCAAATACCAAGCAGTAAATCAGGATTATTAGACAATTGGGCACACATCTCCACTATAGCATGCTGTGTGCCTTCATCTAGCTGAGATGGAGGAGACATGCACCAGCAGTTAACAGCAAGTCAATTCAGGGTCTATATCAGAATATAGCTCATTGCTCTCAAATTATGTTTAAAAAAACCCAAAGAGTTCTTGGAATTGTTGTAGGGACCGTGTTCAGCTATCTTTTCTATTTTTATTAGCTTTCCCTTGCAGCCTAGTGTAACAAAATGGGTGAGAGAGGACGGAGAACTTCCATTTAAACTAGGTTTTAGGTTTTGGCTACTAAAGCAAATACCACAACCTACCTCTTATAGAGTTTCAACTGTAGCTCTCAAAGTGCTTTACAGAGGAGATAAGTAGCATTAGCACCTCACCTACCCTCTTTATTTAGAAAGAAATGGGACAATTTAAGCATGAGTTTGGGGTACAGCCCTGAACTGGAAACTGAATTAAAAGGAAACTCTATGCTCTTATTGCATAGGAAGGCAACTGTTGAAATTATTTCCTTTTTCACCCATTTAACATAATGTGCAGATAGCAAGACCCAATGGTGGACATCAAAAAGACCAAGCAGGCCCCCTCAGAACATTGTTATAGACAAGGGTGTGCTCTCAACTCCCATTTTTACTTATTTAGCAAAATACAGTGGCACATTTAATGTCTTATGACTTATTGTTGGGATACTCCTTTTTAAAGGAAATACAAACATCAGATCCTTATTCCTTGCAAACGCAGCTCTTCGATGAGGTGGATGAGAACACAGGTGTTGGGGCAGTACTTTCTAACATTTCTTCTTCAAAAGTTTCTCTATCTCAGTAAAATCTCTCAAATGGGGTTTCTGGGTATACTGCTGTGTAGACTAGTAGCCTTAGATAAAAGCTGCTCTAAAAGACTTGATATCATACCCCAGGCCTCTAGGTAGGTAATTTTCCCTGAGTTACAGTGGGAAGGGGAGAAGCAGAGACCATTTCACTTCTGTGTCAAGGTCCCACTGCAGTCAAACATCAGTAGAAATAAAACCCAGGAATCACCTCCCAGTCCTTTCCTCCAACCCCCAGAGAACAGTTCCTTGATACTATTATTTTGATGGAATGCGGCAACAGCAGGTATCTACAATTAATTCAAGGGACAAAGACAATAACCCAAAGTGGTGGTGGGACTAAAAAAAAAAAAAGACAGGTCTGACCAGAGACCTTAATAGATTTTGTGTGTCTTTTAAAACAGTTTAATTTGGAAATTGTACATAACACAGATAGAACCCTAAAGTACTATTTTTCACAAAGCATTTGAGAGGTGAGCTGTGGAAAGTCCTATACTGTCTGAAGTCTACTCACTTATCAGATTTCATCAAAATATGGATTCACTACTGCTCTATAGCCATTATCATCTAATCTTTAAGATTGTACTCCTACAGTTATTTTGTACAGCTTATGTTGAAAATACAAGAAGATAAATTCATACATATGCATGAAAATAAAAGTAGTGTGTATTTAATACAAAAGTGGTGTTCACCTAATACAAGTAAGGTAACAGACTGGGCAGAACCAGGAAGGGATTCCTTTTATAGTAAAAATGATTGAGGATAGTACAAGACTGGTTTTCAACATAGTACATAGCCTCCTCTAAGTAATATTTATAACCATGCATAGGTCAGCAGTTACTGCGGTGGTGGTATTGTGCCATATGCAAGGGCTGGGTTATGAACGCTGAGTAGATGGGTTTTAAGTTTCCCATTCTAGCCTCACATCAGTATATCACACAGTTAAGTTTGGTGAACTAGTATTGCAAAGTCATCTTATTTCAAACTAGTTTGGGACCAGAAGTGGAGATGGCAAGTTCTCCATAAGTAGCCAACCTAATCTCCCCAACCCCTTTTGGAAAACTTACCTGATCTTAAGTTCAGGACAATGCACAATATGTTACATCTAAACATAAATCTGTACTAGAATGTCAGTGGCCAAATAATTGAAGGACACATTAGCCAGAAATATTATAGGTATGCAGATACTATTTAAATTCTCCAAGAATAGAAAACAAAATATGGGTGAACTGAAGCAAGTGACAGTTCTTTAGTTCTAAGCTTCATTAAACACTTCCACATAAGGCCAAATTTTATACATTAATTCTCCCCCTCCACTTTCCCCCTTTAAAGTTAAATCTATCGAATAGGCCTAAAACAAACTTCATGAGCACATCATTGTGCCCATCACCCCTAAGGTCAAAGAGCTCACTGTGCCAGCACGGACTGTCACAGAGTTTTCAGGGAGCACTTGTTTCCCTCAGCAATAACAGTTTAATCCCAAATACAGTTGCAGTTAAACAATCTAGTGTTTAAGAAACAGAAATGCACAACAGCCAAAGGGAAACCAGTTAGGGGACAACTACAAAAAGCCTTACTAGCAGTCAGGGGATCAGTTTGTAACCTCTTCAGGGCAAGGATTGGCTCTTACTATATATTTGTACAGCACCTAGCACAAAAGGGGCTCTGGGCAATCCTGGTGACAAATTAAATATTAATTTATGCAACTGGGCCAGTCCTAAGAATTGGACACTTCCTGGCATGTGCCTATGGTCTTTTCTTTACCTAGAAAGTGTGGCAAAAAGAGGATTAACAATTTCTAGATAGTATCTATGTGGCAAGTCTCAAGCTGACTAAATAAATTTAACTACACTTATCTAGTGTAGCCCCCAAGGAGATTACCTAGATTCCTGGGGCTCTGTCTGCTGGCAGCTCCGGGAGGGGGAGCCAAAACAAACTCAGAGTCTGTTCCTCCCAGGAAAGGGGAGAAGCCATTTTGGAGTCAGTGTGGAGCCAGCCAGAGCAAGGGCAGGACTGGGTGTATGGAGAGTTATTAAGTCCCAGGCCTGCGTGCAGGGTTCCCCCTGAGAACTGGCCTCTAGGGACCAGAAAACAAGATCCCTCAGCTGGGTTTTTCCTTCTCCACTGGTGATTCCCAGTTTGTAGAGTTTTGCTTGGAAACTTTCCCAGCCAGGCTGAGTTAGCCC